GTTGTCTATTGAGGAAAGTTGAGGACTAATAACTGCCGCATCTGCCGTGAATCGTGCCGATCTAGAAGTGGCTATACTGTGTTGAAGCGCCATCTAGCAGGTGCCTGCGGAATGACATGATCAGCACCAAGGACAGCACCAGCCCTACCCTTATGTGCGTTCTCACCAGCAGACAATGATGACATGAATGTCCTTGTTTTTCCACAATCTTTTCATTTCCACATATAGCAGAGGTAAAACAATGCGGGGTCGTATGGCGTATGTGCTCGAACCAAGAGGTCCCGGGTTCGAGTCCTGACATGCCACCTATCTTGTGCCCTTGGGAAAGGGACACGACTTTCCTCACTTAACTCATGTAAGAATAAGTATTTTCTGTCCTGTTTTTGTCCTCTGCGATGATGGCGGCATAAAATAAGTTATCTGTATCTGTATAGCCGGTATAACAGCCTTTCGGCGTAACACACCAGCTCACCAGCATAAGAAAAGTTATAACTCAAGTGTGTGGTGTCACCATGTCTAGTCATGAAATGTTGGAATATAAACAAAACAACTCCGTGCGGAGAAATAGATAACATAACATTAAACCAACTGATACAACACGCTACCCGACATGTTTACGAGTACTGGCGATGTTTTAGTGGGAGTACTGGACTTTTGGACTTTGTTATCGGCTGAGGGATGATGTAATGTTGACACCAGCAGCGGGATGTTTGTCCAGACCTGTGTTTGCTCGAGTCACGCGCATAAAGCCAACACGGAGAACGGGGAACAGTTTTACAGACGTTCTCTCAGCGGAGGGTCGCCATGTTGCGGGTGTGTGAGAAACTCCGTGAGGCGGACGAGAAGGGCAGGAGGTACGGACTAGCCCGGGCGGAGACAGGCTACCTCCGTGCCCTGGTGGACGCCATGGCCGACACGGACAGGCTGGCGGAAGTGGAGCTGCTCAAAACTCTGGGCGACGTGAACGTGGAGAAGGGAAGAATCGGGAAGGACGTGGGGAAGTTCAACACAGCCTTGGCGCTTTATCTGGCTGCTATGGTACGGTGTTACCATGAAGAACAGGCAGATGGTATAGAACACCGCTACCACTACACAGAAAGGCTTTTACAAGGGGTGTCGTCACAGGGTAAAGAACAGCCAACAGAAGACAAGGAGACGACTACACCTGCAAAGGTAGCGGCAAAGTTTCAAGATCTAGACAGGAGACGGGCTATCGGAAGCAACACAGACTCTTTGCTGGTTGGATACGCACAGGTGATGGTAGAGGCGATAGTAAACGACAACGACATGTTAGAAACAGAAGCTATCAAGAGTCTGGGTGACGTGTACCTGAAAAGAGGAACAGAAACTGGAGACACTAGAAACTTGACCAGAGCTACTGCTCTGTACAACAGGGCACTGGCGCGGTGTCACAACGTTCATGGAACAGTTGTCATTGTTCACCGCTTACTGCACACCGCAAAAGTCAGGCAAGATATCAACGCAACAAGAAATAAGGTGAGAGAACTATTTTGACTTGAGTATGAAGGAATTTGCAAGTGTTGACTAGACTTCCGGATTCTAAGTCTGTTTATTTATCTTCATAAATTCTGCCATGAATTCGAGTCGCTAATGGTGAATGCGTTTTATTGATACATTGTAATTTTTCCACTGTATTTACTTCATTGTTTCCGTTTACAAAGTTGTGATTTGCGTATAGTGTGTTCTGTAACTTTGAGGATCTGTGGATTAATTTTATTGGACATGAATTAATACGATTAACGTTACCAATCAATGACTTGTTATCGGGTTTTGTAGAGGTCAGCGCTTACGCAAAATAGTGACCTTCCGCGGATCATGTAGCGTCCTTCACCTTTGACCTTTGGTCAAAGTTCACAATCGGTAACCTATTGATTGATATTGGTTCTCGCAGAGGTCAACACGCACGCAAAAACAGCAAGACGTGAGAGAACAGAAGGGCCACTTCTCTGCCTTCTCAGCTGCGCCCTCTAGCGACGAGACCAGAAGTCAAGTTGAAAACGACATGTTAGTGATTTTATGGTTACTTGTGTAATGTATTCAGGGGAGTTGAATCTTTCAAATCAAAATAAAACATGATACAAAACATGAACACAGGGTCATTCAGTATATAGCTGGATAGAAGCGTATTATCAATTTCTACTGTGTTTAAAGTTGCTTTGGGACATTGTTAAAAAGACTTCGTTGTTCAATTTTCTGCATAGTCTATTGAACAGTATGTCAAAAACTTTGCTGTGCATTTGATGTCCATGTGAAGTACCGGTACGTTTTTTTGTTTCAAAATAAAGTTTCTTTCGCTGTTCAGAGCCTACCGCAGGTACATCCAGACGGCAGACCGCAACGTGAGAAATGGAGACCTGGACGCAGAAGAGACGAACATAACAGCCGCCTTGAAGCTGGTTCACGGTCTGTTTAAACTTTTAAATAATATAACCTTTCTTAAGTCTTCCCTTAATTTTTCATTGACAGTTCCATTATTTTATTTTCCTCTCTAATGGGTTACTCGGTTTTGTATAAAGTAAAAAATAATAATAAGCGCACGACTTTGCTTCTATATGATCTGTTTAAATTCCCACCTACAGATCGCAGTAAACCCAACAAGGCTAAAGAAGCCGACTGCCTGTGCAGGTTGGGTGACGTCTACGTCGAGCGAGGTAAGCGGACAGGAGAAGGTAGGAAATTCACACAGGCGGCAGCTCTGTATAACGCCTCTATGACACGGTCAAATGGAGACAAACAAAACATGGTAACAAAGCTGCAAGAAACAGAAAGGCAGTTTCTTAGAAACACCTGTAACCTTGACTGTGAACCGTGTCCGTATAGCAGCGCGTTAGATCACATAAAGGAACTGGAGAACTCGCGCGCCCGTGCAAAATCTCAGCTCGAAACAATTCATCAGCAACACAACCCTTATCAGTATGATGAAGACGATCCCGTCGTGAGAGAGGTAGAGATCAAACGAGCTGAAGCAATCAAGAACTTGTTCAAGAGCATCACAGTTGAAAGACAAGAGTTTATCCAAGTACTGACAGAGGAATGCATTGCCAAACTCGGACCTCCTCCCTGTAAGTACGCTTTCACCGGGTTGGGGTCACAGGCCACAGAACTGGTGACGCCGTACTCCGACCTGGAGTTCGCCATTCTGATTGAGGAGGGGAAGGATGATGATGATGATACACGGAGGTACTTCCTAAATCTCACACACTACTTACATCTAAAAGTCATCAACCTTGGAGAAACCATCCTCCCAGCCATGGCCATCCCGTCACTCAACGACTTTCTCTCAGAAGACCAAGAGAAAGACTGGTTCTACGACTCCGTCACACCTCGCGGCTTCGCCTTCGACGGCTTCATGCCATGGGCTTCTAAGACTCCGTTTGGAAGAGACGAAACCAAAAGCAAACCTTCCGTTAGTCTCATCCAGACTCCCACCAAGTTGGCCGAATATCAGCATCTGCACATCGCCCTGGCGGAAGGCTATCACCTGTCAGACATCCTCAGACGGGTGACCTACTTAACAGGGGACGAGTCGTTGGTAGAGGAGTATACAAGCATTGTTAACAAAAGCGTAGAACGTTCCCCTGTTCTGTCACGGTTGTCAGCAATGCTTATACTGCAGGATAATATTGAACAGATAGAAAACGTTGAACCAACTGACCAACTTCTGGATGTAAAGAAAGAAATCTACCGTTTTCCAAGCGTGGTTGTCGATGTGTTAAGTATTTGCTGTGGAATCACGATCCCCAGTGTGTGGGGAATGATAGAAGAGTTAGAGAAGACACAGCGGATCAGTCACGAAAATGCCCACCACTTGACTGTACTGATCAGCATCTCAGCGGAGCTACGGTTAAGAACGTACATTGCCAACGGAGGACAGAAGGACAAACTGTCTCCTCTCACGGAGATGAAAGTCCAGCTGGACAAACATGACGTAGATGACACCGTCGTTGAGTCAGTTTTCCACATACCGGACTCTAAAATGTTGTTCAGGTACTACTATACAGCCTTTCCATTAAAAAGATGCATTATGAACACAGTTAAAAAGGATAATCAACCAACAACGATATTCCCAACAGCCATCTTTGACAACTCGTCTCAAACCAGGGGACGAATAACACAACAGCTGTTGCAATTTGACGCATCCATACGTTACTTTGAGGCAGCACTAAAAGAGGCGGGTGGTGACGAGGAAAAGCTGTTTGACGTACTTTTTGCATTAGGCAGGGTCTCGCACAGTCGCGGTGACTATGAGAAAGCAAAAAGCTACTACGAACGGGCATTTAGCGCTGGAAATAATATTTATACAGAATTCGATGCGCGCCCCATATTCGCCTCCCTCCTTGGAAACCTAGGGGCATGTTGGAGTGACCTTGGTGATCAGAGAAAAGCTATCAGTTATTTCAAACAGTCACTGAGAAAGGAGAAAGCTATATATGGTGAAACAACGCCACTTCCCGACATTGCGTCATCACTAAACAACGTTGGCAAATGTTGGAGTCACCTTGGTGATCAGAGGAAAGCTATCAGTTATCACGAACAGGCACTGAAAATGGACAAAGCTATCTATGGCAAAACAACGCCACATCCCAATGTTGCGGCATCACTAAACAACATTGGGGCATGTTGGAATGACCTTGGTGATCACAGAAAAGCTTTTAGTTATTACGGAGACTCACTGAAGATGAAGAAAGCTATCTATGGCGAAACAACGCCACATCCCGACATTGCTAAATCACTAAACAATATTGGGGCATGTTGGAGTGACCTTGGTGATCAGAGGAAAGCTATTAGTTATTACGAGCAGTCACTGAAGATGAGGAAAGCTATCTATGGTGAAACAACGCCACATCCTGACATTGCATCATCACTAAACAACATTGGTGCATGTTGGAATCATCTTAGTGATCAGAGAAAAGCTATCAGTTATCACGAACAGTCACTGAAGATGAGGAAAGTTATCTATGGCGAAACAACGCCACATCCCGACATTGCTCTATCACTAAACAACATTGGGACATGTTGGAGTGACCTTGGTGATCAGAGAAAAGCTATCAGTTATCACGAACAGTCACTGAAGATGGAGAAATCTATCTATGGGGAAACAACGCCACATCCCGGCATTGCTGAATCACTAATCAATATTGGAACATGTTGGAGTGACCTTGGTGATAAGAGGAAAGCTATCAGTTATTTCGAACAGTCACTAAAGATGATGAAATCTATCTATGGGGAAACAACGCCACATCCCGACATTGCTAAATCACTAAACAACATTGGGGCATGTTGGAGTGACCTTGGTGATCAGAGAAAAGCTCTTAGTTATCACCAACAGTCACTGAAGATGAAGAAAACTGTCTATGGCGAAACAACGCCACATCCCGACATTGCTTCATCACTAAACAACATAGGGGCATGTTGGGGTGATCGTGAGCTTGGCGATCAGAGGAAAGCTATCAGCTATTATGAACAGTCACTGAAGATGAGGAAAGCTCTCTACGGTGAAACAACGCCACATCCAGACATTGCATCATCGCTGAACAACATTGGTGCATGTTGGAGTGACCTTGGTGATCAGAGGAAAGCTATCAGTTATCATGAACAGTCACTGAAGATGAAGAAAGCTATCTATGGCGAAACAACGCCACGTCCCGAAATTGCTTCATCACTAAACAACATTGGGACATGTTGGAGTGGCCTTGGTGATCAGAGGAAAGCTATCACTTATCACGAACAGTCACTTAAGATGAAGAAAGCTATCTATGGCGAAACAACGCCACATCCCGACATTGCTGTATCACTTAACAACATTGGGAACTGTTGGAAACATCTCAGTAATCACAGTAAAGCCATGAGGTATTTCGAAAAATCATTGAATATGATGAAAGTTGTCTATGGGGACAATCCAGCACATCCCAACATAGCAAAAGTACTGAACAACATTCGGTCATGTAAAAGTGCCCTCGCTGAGTAAAGTAAAGCCTTTAGTAGTTATAGCAAATCATCACTCAAGATTAGCTAACTATGGAGACACTACTGAACATCTCCAATCTGCCTTAACATATCATGTCATTACATAGCTATCTTTGTCACAAATTACTTACTATGTAAGTATAGCAGCTTCTACTACATGATAAGGGGAATTGCTTTATTTGCAAGACTATGTATTGCGTTGGGAGACTAATAGATATACTTGTAGTCTTTGGTGGAATTTCTTGCACTCATTTTAAGTAGGCAGCCATTTGGACAATTCCTTTATGGTCTATATCTAGAATCAGGGATTAGCACGACAATGAATAAAGGAAACAAAGTCATACATGTATATGAGTTCCGAGTAAGCACAATGAAATGAGTGAGTGAATGAGTGATGGTGAGTGATAGTGAGTGAGTGAGTGAATGAGTGAGTGAGTGAATGAAGAGAAGTTATGGTGGATGAAAGATGCGGATGATCAACATGGTAGTCCTAAGGTTGTAGTTATGACTGGATCTTTAAGGGGTTTTCTGTATCATGGCCTTGTGTTTTGGGATGATTCTTTGGGAAGATCTCTCAAAACGCAGGTTACAAGTATGCAAAGGTAAAGGCAAGGAGGGTGGAGGATTCCATCTCCAAGTACTTTTCTAATTTGCAAAAGATACGCAAGAAGAACCTTTTCAACATTAATCTTTAAGAAGCCTGAAACGACTTGTGACGTTACGTTTGCCTTTTACTTTATGAACTAATGTAAAAGCAACAACAACAATAAAGTGAAGTGTTTCCTTTCTTAACAATATTGTTACAGGTTTTACAGTACAATGTTAGGCAAACTAACGTAGAGTATACGTCACAATTTGTGTTTACGTTGTACAATCACAATTGCAAACTAAAGACATTCTTGACAGTCGTGTATTCATGCTGAAAAATTCAGCTATCTTGTTTTGGAAAAATATGCCTTAAATCCTTGTCCACAATCTAACATCAAAATTAGGTGACGACCTACAACATCGCCGTAAGACATCAAGTTATGCAATCTGTCACTATGTATCCAGAATAACATAGTCCTATTGGCACTGTTTTCTTACATCTCCTCACATGTATACATTTGTACACATTGCAGTGGTTGACATGTAGGCACAAGATTCAGCTATAGTGTCACTGGTTCCACATCCAGAGAAGTAGAGAGCATAAGTCTCTCTAAAAGTAATACTGGCCTTTTTTCAGAAGAACATTGCATCAATTTGACAAAGACAATATCTCTCATCACTTACAAGACCTTTTGCTTATAATTGGTGCTGGTGTATCATTGCCATATTCTTGGATATGTTTGCATATAAACAAGAAAAACTGAATATGGCAAGAGAGAGAAGAGATTAATTTGGGTTGGTGGCCAAAAGGCTACTTCAGTGTGTGAAAGGTTAAGACAAAAAAGACATGAAAGAACAAGAAAGACATGAAAAATCTCATCAAGTTTGTGAATACCAACGTTTTTTTTATTCACAACCACTTGTATAACAAGAGCGAATGTTTTGATCAGCCAGGTGTTACTGCTAACACAGTTTGGGACTGCATAGTTAGCAGTGACACCCAGTTTCAGTACACTAGGAACCAGTTATACCTCACTGACCTTCAGTGCACAGTAAACCAAGGTTTCAACCTCCTTGAAGAAACCAGTCATAATTGCTCTGATGAAGATGGCAGTCATCGAAACGTCAACTCTGATGAAACAAGTGGTTGTGAGTAAAGAACGTTGCCATTTGAAAGGCAGATGTGTTGTTCTAAAGATGAGTTTACGTGAGTGGGCCCATCCCTCGAGCCATCTTTCTGTCCGCCATGGCTCGCCGGTTGTGATTGGCTCGGCTGGACTTATTCTTCTCCTTCTGTCTTCTGCTGTGATCCGTCGCCTTTGTTTGACCTTGACCTTTGGCTAGACCTTTCAGGATTTCCTGTTGGTTCCCGTTTTGTCCAGTTTTCTCAGACAACAACAGGGTTATAGGTGGCAACGTTTGTAATAAACTTTGACCAAGTCAGATTATAAGACTTTAAAATATGGAATCAAACCAAGACAGGAATCGGTCTCAGCGTACATTAGTCTACCTTAGTCAAATTGGAATCCTACTAGAATTGAGGATTGATGTTATTCGATGCCCCCCCCCCATCTTTCTCCCGAATACACCCTCCACCAAGTAAACCTAACAAAATACCATCAAAAGCCCCAGGATACCAGCATATAAAATGCCCAATACCCTCCCAAAAATAAAACACTCCAATACCCCTCAAAT